TTGGGGATCTTCCTCGTGATCTTCGGCCTTCTACCTTTCCTTGTATTATGAGTCTTTCCATGTTTTCTGTGTTTGCTCTCATAACATGCCCAAACTATTTTAATTGTTGGAGATGGACTTTACTAGAGAGTCGTTGGCTAACTTTTAGCTCTCTTAAAATTAAATTATTTGTTCTGCGGTCGGTCCAAGGAATTCGTAACATTCGTCTCTAACAGAACATTTTAGTGGCGTCTATCTTTCTTCTCTCCGATTGTCTCAGAGTCCAAGATTCACATCCGTAGGTCAGTATTGGGAATATTAAGCAGTTGATCAACCTCATCTTTATTGCTCTTGAAATTTGACAGTCCTTCCATATTTTGGTCATTTTTGCTGTGGCAACTTTTGCTAGATCAGATCTACGTTTAATCTCTTCTTGTAATGACCCTGTGTTTGTGATTAATTATCCCAGATATAAGTATGAGCTCACAACCTCGAACCGGTCAATTGTGGTTATGTGTGGATGATTGTTGTGTAGTCTATCCACTATCATGATTTTTGTCTTTGATATGTTTAATTGCAGACCAAATATTTGACTTTCGTTTGCGATCAGTCGTATAAGTTCTATCAGCTCTGCTTGACTATTTGCAAGAAGGGCTGTGTCATCTGCGAAACGTACGTTGTTTAGTTTATGACCATTTATTGAGATGCCCTTTTCCCATCCTTCAAGTGCTCTTCGCATAATATACTCCCCATATATGTTGAATAATTGTGGAGATAGTATATATCCTTGTCTGACACCCCGTTCTGGATGAAATTCGTTCGAAAGTGTGTCAAGTACTTTAACTGATCCAGTAGTGTGTTCATATAGTTCGGTTATAAGCGTAAATAGATGTTGTGGTACGCCTACTTCTTTTAGTATTCGCCATAAGTGTCTCCACTTGACCCTGTCAAACACTTTACGGTAATCTATAAAACAGATGTATAGTGGGATGTTGAATTCCCTAGATTTCTCGATTATCTGTCTTATATTCAGCAGGTGTTCTCGAGTTCCTCTACCTTTGGTAAATCCAGTTTGCTCTTGTGGAATTTCTCTTTGAAGGAATGTTTTCAGTCTCTCATTGATTATATGTAGCATTATCTTGCTGGCATGGGATATAAGAGAGATAGTTCTATAATTGTCGCATTTATGGAAGCTGCCTTTTTTATGTATGGTCGTTATTGTAGATTTTGTCCAGTCTCCAGGAGTAGATGAAGTAACTTTACGCCGGTTTCTTCTGTGGCTTTAAGCATTTTTGCTGTTATCATATCTGGACCTGGTGCTTTGTTATATTTGAGCTTGTTGATAGCCTATCTTACGTCATTTTCGAGTATATCAGGTTCTTCTTCCACCTCGTCAGAGATTTGGCTAACAAGCTCTTGGCGTTGATCATCTTTATATAGGTCCCTGCAATACGATCTCCATGTCTCTGCTATGTCTTCTCTGTTTGTTTTCAGGGTTCCAGTGTTATCTTCAATGGCCCAAGTTCTGGCTCTGAAGTCTCTTGTCAGGTAGCGTATTTTTCTAAATAGATCTCTCGGCTGATTATTCTGACCATGTCGCTCAATTTCTTTGCATATACTTTGATAGTACTGTTTTTTGTCGGCCTTACATCTTCGTTTTATTTCTTTATTGAGGTTTCTTAAACTAGCTTTTTGCCTTTCACTATGTACACCACTTTTACAAATATGCATTTAAAAATAAAAAAAAGTTTTTTTTTCATTTTTGTCATCATCATCATCATCACGATGTTACAGCCCTTAAAAAGGCGTAGTAGATCTTCTCAAGCTTTCTGTGCAATTCTGATCTGCTCCTTGCTTGAATTTTCCAGTTGGCACCGATGACAGCAACTTGTGTTACCCCGTCTATCCACCTCGCCTTCGATCTCCTCCGTTTTCCAACCCCACTGGCTGTGTAGTTAAAATATTTTTTAACATGTTTGATTCCGGGGCCCGGGCCTATATATTCTGCCCACTGAAGACAGTTTCGCTTGATTATAGAGCTAATATCTTTACCAACAATCTTAAAAAATTGCAAAAATCGTGCTACGTTTATTTATTAAACAGCTTTATAAAAACTGAGTTTATTCGCAGCAAAATACAAAAACTGCATACGAAAGCTGCACTCTTTGCCTTTAAAACGCATCTTAATTTTTGTTGATAGGACACTTGGATCAAAAGATATCGAATTTTTACCGTCGAGCTGATACAAATTTTATTGAACACTGATTTCGCGCACGTAACTGACATTCAACATCAACGGTCGCTTCAAGCGTTGTTTCTAAGAGAACGGTTCATTTTACACAAAAAGTAAAATACTATTACTTATTACTTTTACGAATAATTTTTTTTTTTTAATTTTTGTTACATTGATTTTTTGTGTTTTTACCTTTGTGTGGATAAAAGTGGCAAACTTTTATGCATCTTTTTTGAGGCCCCCAAATTAATATTCTTGGCAAAATTCAGCTTGCTTGTATGATTTTTAGCGGTCAACAGTTTCAGAACCATTTCAATTTTATTGTTGTTTATATTTCCATTTTCATATAATACAAAACGCTTAAATTGTTTTCAAAAAATATTGGTAAAACTTCGGAAAAATACTAAATGTTCTCAAAATTAGTTTTTGATGAGGGTGACAAAAGCAATGACGAAAATATTTAATCAATTATAATAGTGGACAAACAAATGTTACGATCTTTAAAAATTATTTCTATAACGAGTTTTAAACGACATGTTTTTTTTTTCGTTTAACTAATGTGTCTACAACCGATGATTTACATGCCGAAGTGAAAATAAATCTTCTGATTTAAAAACGAATTTTATATATTATTATGGCATATGACCGAAACAAATATGTTATTTTAATATTTCGTTCTTTAGAATGTTATATAATAGATTGTTACGTCTCACCATAAAAATTTAATGGACGTTATTTAACCACGATTTGACGAAAATCTCGTTTAAGGTAACTGTGTCAGGTTTATTAGTTTTATTTTTTAATAAGAGGTCTATATAATATAAACGTCTTATTTGTTTGCTAAGTCTAAAATTATTATTCAATAATCTACTCTATTACAAAAATATTTGTCTCGATCTATTTTATCTCTTTTATCTATTTTATCTATTTTATTAAGTAGTTTTCCGGGTTTGACTCCGCGTTAAATAGTTTTGGTTTTTAGAAAAATCATTGTTTTGACGACGTTTCAGCAAGATCACACTTGCCATTGTCAAGTCAGATTAGTTCTACTTCTTGTTGATGTTTCAGGAGAACTGATTGGTCAAAACAATGGTTTTTCTAAAAACCAAAACTATTTAACGCGGAGTCAAACCCGGAAAACAACTGAAATCACATATAGCTTCCGCGGAAATTTCAAATCCAATATATATATATATATATATATATATATATATATATATATATATATATATATATATATATATTTACGTAAACATACCTAAAACGCTGTCTATAATAACTTGTCAAAGTTGTCTGCTATACTCGATTTGGAAATACATGATAGCAGTCTTATGGTATAAAAATACAGAGAAACATAAAAACGTTTGAAATTTTACATTTCCTTGAAATTTGCATAAGCCAGGACTACTTTGAATTTAATAATCAAATATATACAAATAACAGTGCAGGACTTATAATGGGTAATCCTCTAGGACCATTTCTATCAGATATTTTTATAGACCATCTAGAAACAAAGATTTCAAAACATCCTATATTCAAACAGTTTTTGTATTGATGTAGATACGTAGACGATGTACCTACTGGTATATTTTACAGGAAGTAACAGATAACTTAACCAATTCTTATTTTATATTAATTTACTCCATTCATCAGTTGGCGCTACAGCCCTTCGTGAACCTTGGCCTGCTTCAAAACATTCTTCCATCCTTCCGTATCGAGTGTCTGCCTTCGCCAGCCCCTCATTCCAATCTCCATCAGATCTTCCTGTACATCGTCCAGATATCTGAGTTTAGGTCGCCCCCTTCTTCTTCTTCCGACCGGCCTGTTTAGCATAGTTATTTTAGTGGGATCACTCTCATCCATCCGCATAACGTGGCCCACCCACCTTAGGCGGTTTATTTTGATGGTCTTCACAATATCTACATCACCAAAAAGTCGATATTTTGGTGATTTACTCCATGGTCATATTTAATTCACAGTACACAACAAACATGAGTTCTCCGTGTTTCATAAACCTATCCATACTGACACGACTATATACAATTCATCATCCTACACAACATAAATTGTCTGTCTACCATAGCATATTACATAGATTAACAGAAATTCCCATGTCAAGATATCAACAAAAATAGCCAAACACATAAAAAGAATGGAATAAATCAGCTTTTAGAAGAAACAACAACTAAGGCAAATATATTAAGAACAACAAGAGCGAAGAGAAAAAGAAATTACACAGCGGTGTATACAAACTTATAATTGGCGACTTACATGGGTCAAACTGGTAGAACTTTTGTTAAACGTATAGCAGAACATAAAAAGCTTTCAATATTAGAAAAGCAGATTCTACGTACGCACTTTCCCTTCTAGACTAGAATCATTCTTTTTGTGATGAATTTCAAATTCTTCACATTCAAAAAAGGCCTTAAGATATTTTTATTTAGAATCTATGGAAAATCAACAAAACAAAAAATACAGACATAATTCTAAATGACCAACTTGAGACAAACAGTTCTCCCCTTCTCAACTTATTCAGCTAGTAAAGTCATACTATAAATAGATCACTTGAGAAAGGCACTCTGACCGAAACAGCTGTAGTGATAATAATTTAAAATAAATTTTGTGGAAGTTTTAAAAACAAAGGTTTTCAGTGTTTTATTGTTACAATTACAGAGAACTTTATGAAAGACTGTTCAAAGAAGAAAAATTAAAACTTTCATTCCTTTCATCCCAGTTACGATTATTATTTGAATTGTGACCATTTTTTTTATAAATATTAAGCTTTTACCTGTGGCATATATCCTACTCGCGGTCCAGGAACTCCGCTGCCTCTCGAACCAGGTGTGCCACCCAGTACCCATAATTCTCCGGAATTAAGTCTTTTTCTACCTACAATACAATTGAGCAAAGTCGTTTTACCACAGCCACTAGCACCTAGAAGTCCGTATCTGGAACAAAGAAAAAACCAGTTAATTTGATGTTATGTGTATGTAATTTCTTGCTTGTACTTATGTAAATGATCTAGTTGTGATGTTGCCAAAGCTAAGCTAAAGAAAGAGCCGCCCTGGCCCTACAAATAAAACAATTATAACTCCAAAGATAACTCCTGTAGAAGCAAATACAAAAGTGAATATTATATAAACGAATGTTATTATAATTCATGACCGAAATCATGTTATTATAATTCATGATCGAATTACATTGCATTCGATCTTTAACACCCTGAATCCAGTTGTGCTGGATTCGCTTGATGATATCCAACCACTTTGTTGGAGGACGTCTTAGATTACGATAAGCACCGTGACTAGGTCTGCATTCTAAAATTTTTGTTGGTCCATCTTCCATCTCTGACTTTGGCAACATGTCCTGACCCATATTCTATTCAAACACCAGTTTCTCTCCTAACTATTAGTAACAGGTCAATGTTTCTACTCCATACGTTAAAACTGGGAGTTCAAAGACCTTCCCTTTCAAGGACATGGGAATATCTGATCTAAAGACTTCCGTCAGTTTTCCGTCAGCTATCCATGTTAGTCCTATTCTTCTGTTTAAGTCTATAGGCCTACGTCTTATTGTACGTTTGGCTGGATAGGATAAATTTTATACATTAAAACGTGGCATGTAAAAATCAAAACGTACGTCTTGTCGGGTGGAAATGAAATCCAAGGTCAGATCACAGAAATGATGGGAGAAGCATAGTTTTGCGAGAACTTGAGGACTAGTTCCACTGCAGTTCGCTTCATTTTCCAAAAAAAAGCCTAATAAAGTCAGATTTTCGACAATGCACCCACGATTTTCTCGGGGAGTTTATTGAATTGTATAAAAGTTTTTCTTGTTTAGGCAAGTGAAAAATAAAGACTATTGTGACCGTAATAAAAAAAATGTCGCCTATAAGTTTTTTTATTCTTTAAAGGAAAAAATGCTTACGTTTTATTTTATTATTTTTGGTGTTCAAATTAAAGAAAACAATTTTCTTAACCTATACCTATTTATAACTAATAAACAAATATAGTTTAGGTTTAGTTGGTAGTAGTTATGTTTTAAAACCAAGTAGATTGCATTACAGGTTTCAAGAATTATTTGGCTTAACGATGGTTTGGATATTGTGGTAGTAAACTCCAAGTTCTTGAGGCTGCGTCCTGTTGCAAGATATCTGAGAGTCTTTCATGGGGTGTAATGCCTTTTCTCATGCAATTGTTTTGTTTTAATATTTATGGTATTACCAACTCTAGCAATTGACAATAGGCTGAGGTGTCCATTCGCAAATAATTGCGCTAGTCATCTGGTTCGCCTCTCAGTTATTTTAGTAACGAAACGTGGGAATACTGGCTTCTTTTCAGAAGCCACTCTCTTGACCATCTTGTCTTTTCCCTATTTATCCCCTTCTTCCTCAGTCAAAGCAAGCAGCCGTGTTTCCTCCATAATATGACCACCACAAAATGAGATAGAAAACGGAAGAAAAAACGTGTGTATACACTGAAAAAAACGTACATTTTTTCGTACGTTTTATATATGACCCCCAAAACGTACAAGAAAACGTAGCGTGAAAACCGGCCTTATTATTTGTCTCTTCTAGACTAAAAGAGACAATCAAATTATAATTAGTGTTGTTGTTGAAAGTAAACTAATGATTTATTAACTTGTCTGTAGGTGAATGTTTTCCGTTGTCTCGTTCTAAAACGTGTTTAAAATAGCTTAATTGTTCTTCCAGTTTAAATCATTATGTTTTGATTTTATAATTATGAATTTTCTGTCTGCAGCTTTCTTAAAATCAAAAACCACACAATCGCTTCCAAGTTCTAGGATAGGTCCATGTTCAGATATAATTTCTTTGGTCAGTAAAAAATATGTTTAGGATCAGTGAAATAAATCAAATATACATATTTTGTTATTATCTTCAAGTTCATTGACACCAATAAAATGGTGATCTAATGTGATTTTATAATTTTATTATAGTAAAAAAATGAAATGATGTCATACTATAATACAGAAGTTGATAGACTGGAAAGACATTGTTAGACCATATAATATGTTAGACCATATCTATGATATATTAGACTTATAATATCCATTTGTGAATAAAAAATTGGTCAAAAGGTTCAAACATTGTCGATTCCAATAAAAAATACCCTTCCGTTTAGTAACAACGGCGTTAATTCTAAATAAATAATAAAACATAAGCGTTTACGTTTGATCAATGAAAGAATTTGATCAATTCAATTCCACGTCAAATAAGGAGTGTACTTTAAAATATACGTGGTAATACATAATAGTAAAAATCACGACTTTATTGAAATTTTTATAAAAATGGAGAAAAAATTTACAATGTTGGTTTTTAAAATTTTCATCAGTTTTGGAGAAATTTTGGCATTTGTTATTTAAAAAATGGTTGCATACTGCTTAATCATTAAACAAAAATCTAATGACAATCAATGTCTTAGGGTTTTTAAAAATTTTAAAATGTCAAAAATTTTAGTTGGTTTCTTTTTAATGACGCGTTGTATATTTTCACATTATATTAAATTTATTACCATATCTATTTTTATTTTTTTATAAAGTTCAGTTTCAAAATAGTAAAACAATGGGGAATATATTTTATTAATTTAATGTTCAAACTCTGTCATATTCTTGTCTCTTCCTGCTGTTAATGACTTCACTAATTGAAAAATTGTTTTTTGATTTTTTTTTATCTTTTAAAACAATCGTAATTCAATAAATTATAGTTCAAATTCAAGGATCTCTTTAAATTTTATTAGACAATCCATTGTTTTTATTCAAATGGTCCCAAATGCATATTGTCAAATTCCGGCAATAGGAAAACCTGTTTTAATGTGAGATAATTAACACTAATTGGTTTTTGTGCGTCAAATAGACTAGCTTTACTAATGATTATTACTTTTTAATTTTTTACATTCACACTATTCTCAAATTTCTCTTATATTTCATTTTCCAATCCCAAAATAGAGTTGCCATAACTTTTCCTGTTGAAGAAACTGTTATTGCCTGTTTTGATGACAAAGAATCCTTAAGTATTCACTGTTTCCACCATTTTGTCCAGTTGTGTCCAGATTTCGTCAAAGATTATAAAACTATACATTAAGTCCTAAGAGTATGTTGAAAATGGATCAAAATTGCAAGAAACTCTCAAACCATTCAGTTTTAGCTTTTACTCAAAATGAAAACAATATTAGATGAAGGCAAGAAAAATGAAACAAATGAGATCAACAGCATTTGTTTGTGTTTCATATTTGGGAATTTGGAAATTTGGAAAAAACTTACTATACCCGATGTGGAAATGCTTGATAACACAGTTTCTATGGCAGAAGATTTTAACGGCTTCTATGAAGGATTGTTCAAAGCAGCACACCCATCCAAACGTTGTCGAAATTTTGGTTGATAAAATTACAAATAGATCAACCACTGATGTATTGATAAACAAACATAAATACTTATAATGGGTGACTTCAGTGCCAAAGTAAGCAAAAGGAAATAAAAATATTTAATTGGAGAATATGAGTTACTGAGCATAATGAAAGAGGAGAAAGGTTCGTCGAATTTGTCCAAAAAAAAAAAAAAGAATTGGTAGTGACAAACACGTTATACAAAATTTCACCAAAAAGATCATATAACTAGAAGTCAAATAAATTATTTTATGATAGGAAGAAGATTTCGCAAAGACGTATTCAGATGCTAACGTATCATGGGCTGTTGCTGAATTCAGGCTAAATTTAAAACAATCTAAATAGAGCCAAAATAAACAAAACATCGATCTTTCCATACTAAGAAATATTTTAAACAAAATTTGACGTTGAAAAAATGATAAATCAAGAACTATTGCCAGCTACAACTCATAACAGAAGAGGTCAGGAGGCAAACACCCAATGAAATAACTTAAACAACACTGTATTACAAATAAGTAAAGATTAACAATAAAAAGTGCCAGAAAAAGACTAATCTGTAGCTGGTAAGTCAAATAATGGGGACGCTACTTCGAGCTTTTGTTGTTGGCATCTGTAGTTTTTTATCTTTTAGTCGTGATGTTTCAGTTATTTTATATCCACCGGATTTTCATCTCTCGTAATCTCTGGACTCACATTTATTAAACATAATGTATCCAGTAGTCCCACGACACTAAGCTTTAACGGATCTTAGAGTAGGATTTGCTGGCAAAGTTGAATTTTATTTCTAGAATCTCCTTAATTTTATTGAAAATGTAATAATTTCTAATAGCAAGTACAGCTGGCACATTTCAAGGCTCGATTTACCTAATAATGAACGCCAATATCAGGCACTGATCCAAAACAAATTGCGGACACTGGAAGAAAAAGAAACATCAACGCCAGAATTGACCATAGACCAGAAATGGCAAAATATAACGAACGTTATAGAAGCGCAGCGGAAACTATATGAAAAGAAAGGAATAACAAGTAGAAATACCAGTGGTTTGACCAGGAGTGCGAACAAAGCTTGCATCAGAAAACAATCAAGAAGCTAGAGTTACTAACACGCCCTACAGATGAGAACAGGGAAGACTATAACAGAGTAAGGACTCAAACAAGAAGACTTTTGAGAAGAAAAAAGAAATAGTAAATAGAAGTGCGAATACAGCAACTGGAGGAGAAAATAGAAGCGGTCAGTCTAGACAGTTTTATAAGGACCTAAAACCAATGAAGGGCAACACGACCAACAGCCCAAGATTTATAAAAGACGATGCAGGACAATTGCTCACAGACGACGAGGAGATAAGCCGCCAATGGGGCCAAGGAAGTTGATCTGAAGGTCAACGAGGACAAGACCAAGTACATGGTGGTTACGAAGAACCCAAGGCCAAGGGTTAGCCAAAACGTAAGAATCAATGAAAACAACTTTGAAGTCGTCAAAGAATTCAAGTAGCTGGGAGCGATCATAACATCTGAAAATAAATATGATAAACGTCCTATAGATAAAAGGACAATTTCATGGTTTCTTTCACGCATATGTACCGAAGATTGCAAGCTGTTATCAATGCTGATGGAGACAAAATATAAATTTTATTTTTACATACATAAATTTAGTACAGTTTTGGTCTTTCAGACCCTCGCTTTCTTTTGAGAATTTTTTGTTCCCTCCATTTTTTATTAATAAAAAACTGTGTTCTGCTTATGATAAATGTTTTGCTGCCTCTGATAGTGCCCAGTTATCTTTTAATTTGGTTACAATTCTTGCTTTAACCCCCTCTGTGGCTCAGTGGTAAGAGCGCCTACCTTTAAACCTAAAGGTCGTGAGTTCGAATCTCATCTGGGTGGAGAAATTTTCGTTTATTAAAAATTAATGAATGAAAATAATTTCTATCCTTGTGCGATCGGTACTCACCGGAGGGACCGCAGACGTTCGGATACAATTAGCGTCTCTTAGCAAAGACAATGACGTCGACTTCGCTAAGTATCAAGACAATTACTCTACACACACACATACTACACTAGGTACCTGACTGTACCATGCCAATGATCTTAGTTGTCGATTCATTAATTCAATAATAAAAAAAAATTCTTGCTTTAAAATATTTTTGAGTTAAATCGATTGTTTTATTTCTTAATAATAATAATAATAACGCTATTTTATCTAAAACCTATCATAATAATCAAATATACTGCTCAAAATGATCAGATCTTCTCAAATGATCTCAAAACCAGCTGTGCAACTCCAGATATTTAAACAACGCCAAAATCAAGCATTATCACTTAATTCCTTTCAATGATATATGTAAACCTAATAAAACAACAATATACTTTTATAAAACAAACTGAAGTTGAAAAACAAAACAATAACATGCAATACAATATATATCATATTAGTTACTTACATACATCCTTTAGGAACTGTCATATTAAGATTGTCCAATATAACATATGGATTACTTTTAGTGCCATATTTTTTGACAGCCCTCCTGACGCAAACCGCTTGTTGTCGTCTGGAATTTAGTGTAGAAGGTTGCGTTTTGAACTGCCTTCTGCGTAGCTCAATATCGCTGGGACGTTCCATAGTGGTAAGAATCGTCCTAGAACAAAAATAATAGCAAATTTATTTACCGTACTATATAGAAAGTATTATTAAGAATTTAGATATAAATGACATATATTTATGTATTTCTTTATTCACTAAAAGGTCCCTTATTATTATTTAAATATTGATATCAACTAAACAACATTTAAATGTTAGCGCCATATGTCATATACAGAAGTTAAGATTGGTACAATGTAAACTGTCAATTGTATTCACGTTTGGAAAAAAATAAAGTCAGTCTTAATTGTATAACTGATTTCCGTTCCCTCAACAATATTGATATCATCAGCAAAGGCCAGTATTTGCACTAATTTATTATATATTGAACCAGTGGTTGTGATTTGTGACACACGTATTACTTCTTTCAGAGCCAGATTGAACAGTATGCAGGAGACAGGGTCTCCCTGGAGCAGCCTGTTATTTGTTTTAAAAGGTTCAGATAGTTCCGCCTGAATTTGTACTCTACATTCGACTTTTTCAAAAGTTCTATCTATCTATACAGCCCTAAACATCCATCCTTGGATATAGGCCTCCTCCTCCTTCTTCCATGCCTCTCTATCTTGGGCAATTTGCATCCATTTTGACCCGGCGTGTTTCTTCAGGTCATCTGACCATCGCATTTGTGGCCTTCCCCTTTTTCGTTTGTGATTTCATGGTCTCCAATGTATAATTGTCTTAGTCCATCTTTCATCTTTCTGCCTCAGGGTGTGTTCGGCGAACTTCCATTTAAGCTTTGCTCCTTGGGTTGAGACATCTGTCACTTTTGTTTTATTACGGATCCATTCGTTTCTTTTTCTGTCTGATAGTTTAATGTTCAGCATTTGTCTTTCCATGGATCTTTCTGTCTTTGCTATTTTTTCCATATTTTTCTTTGTAAACTTCCATGTCTGAGAGCCATATGTGAGGACAGGGAGTATACATTGATTGAAGACTCTCGTTTTTAGGTATTGGGGGTATTTTGAATTCTTTAGAATATAAGACAGTTTTCCGAATGATGCCCAAGCCAATCTTATTCTTCTCTTTATTTCTTCGGTCTGATTTTCTTTATTTAATTTAGTGATTTGGCCTAGATATATATACACTTTTACTTATTCTATTCTTGTTTGTGCCACTGTATTTATTAGTTCTTCTGGTTGATTAGTCATGGTTTTTGTTTTACTGTAATTCATCTTGAGTCCAATTTTTGTCTATTCTCTATCTAGTTCTTCCATCATTCTTTGTAATTCTTCACTTTTTTCTGTTAATAATACAATATCATCTGCATATCGTAAATGATTCAGATTTTGCCCGTTTATGTTAATTCCCAAGCTATCCCAGTGTAGTCGTTTGAAAACATCTTCTAGCGCTTGGTTGATAGCTTGGGCGAGATGGTATCTCCTTGTCTTACTCCTCGGTTTATTTTAATAGGCTCCGTTTTGTTTCATTAGCTTAATATTTGTTGTTGCCTTGTTGTATATATTTGTAATTAAGTCGGTATATCGGTAGTCTATTCTGCTGTTTTGTAGGGAATTCTGTACTGCCCAGTGTTCCACACTATCAAAGTCAATAAATGCCATGTATAGCGTGATATGATATTCGTTAGTTTTTTCGATTAAAATCTTCATCGTTAAAAGGTGGTCACTTGTACTGAAGTTCTTTCTAAATCCGGCTTGTTCTCTTGCCTGGTATCCATCTGATTTACCAACTGATTTGGTATACTTAAATATATACTATAATAATAATATATATGAAATACTCTTTCATTGCTTTGAATATTTGTCTTGTATTCACAGACTCGTAGGCTCCTTTTTTTTAGTCTATAAATATGTGATAAATATCAATGCCATATTCCACTATTTATTCCAAAATTTGTTTCAGGATTGAAATCTCGTTTTACCACTTCTGAAATTGGCCTGGTATTTTTCTACTATTCGTTCAGCATATGGTGCCATACGGTGACAAATTACTATACAAAATATTTTATACGCTGCATTTAGAAGCGTGATTTCTCTGTGATTAGAGCATTCAAAGATATCTCTTTTTTTTTGTGTATGATGCAAAGTATTCCAATATTCTAATCATTGAGGATAGATTTCTGCGTCCCATTTATAAGCTGCTGTAATACCATTACATTATCATGGCCACCTTCTTTATATAGTTCAGCTGGGAGATTATTTATTCCAAGTGATTTGTGTCTGGCTAGTTTTTTAACTGCATCTTTAACTTCAAGAAACGTTGGTGTTTCCTCTTCCCTCTCGTCTGTTCCCTTACCTCATCGTTTCGTCTTCCAGGTGTTCTTCTTCTTCCTCTATATTAAGTGCCTGGTTAAAGTATTCCACCCATTCTGACTTCTGCATTGTCTTATGGTTGCCTTGAAGTATTTTCTGTTGATATTAACTTTCTTATAGAATGCTCTGAATTCTTTCTCGCTGTTGAAATTTTCTATATATATATTTAAGTTCCTTATTTAAGTGGTTTTGTTTCTCTTTTCTTTTGTGTATCCTCTTTACTTCTCTTCTCTTTGTCTGTTAATTACAACAATAACAATTATCTATTACTAAAAGATAAAAGATTCAATTTAATTCTGCTTTGTTCAAGAAATATCCAATTAGACCTCTACACACTGTGAGAAAAACTGCGTATTTTTTCATTAATAGGAAACTTTACCCTAGATACCATAACAGCTTACTATGCACATTGCTTCTATATTGATGGATAGCGAAATTTTGACTAATTACGAAATTAAATTAGAAACAAAATACGAGTAAGTTGATATTTCAGCATTATTTTACCGACCATTTAGGTATTTCTGTATTTACTCATTTTTGATTATATCTATTTCCTTTTTTAACTATTTGGTGAAGTTTTTTAATACATTTAATTTTCTGTAGTTCTACTTTTTTTGCCATCTTTTCCTGTCTTTTCTTTTATTTGCACCAGTTTTCCAATACCTATGGGATAATTTTGACCTTTGGCTTTTCTTATAATTTATGTGTTATTGTTCCATGTGGTAGGTTGTATATTTATGGTTAGTTTCTTTGCTTTTTCATCAAGTTGTTCATTAGTTTTGATTGGTACATTTAGGTCAATTCTCTTACTTAACTCCTGCCTAAAGCTAGTCCAGTCTATTGTTATTGGTTAAGGTATGTAGTTATAAGGGTAGAGCTTTTAACATCGTTCTAATGTTTGATTGAAAATAATAGACAACACTAACAGAGTAAAACGGTAACACTAGATCACTACGCATAATACTAGAACAATACCTAGTAAGGGAGTGATAATAACCTCAACCTTATTCCCTAAACGAAACATCTAGAAGGCTACACTGCTCTCGTCAGATGGTCATACAAGCAAACATATATACGATGTATTAATAGACAGAAAACTGGTAATAAATGTAATGAATGTGACTTGGATATGTATGAGGTTTGGATCTCTTCCTATTACAAATAAAATTTAGATGCCGTATAGAGAAAAATACACAATAACCACCAAACAAGCCGATGATTTCAACCTGGACAACCTGAAAAATCCAAAAATAGAAAAGCGATTGCGAGAAGAATTGAAAAATATTTTTTTCCATGGTTTTAGCAAGGTTTTTACTGCCGGATGCCCATCCTGACGCAAACCGTTCTCCTTTATCCGAGCTTGGGACCGAGACTGTTACCGACTGACCGGCGTCAGCTAGATAATTATCCCAGTAATACTGAAAAAAATATTTAAAAAGTCTGACAAATATTTAAATTTAGCTCACCTATCCAAAATATTTAATAAATATTCTAACAATTTTCATGGCAATTAATTTTTTACGAATTAATTAATGTATCTGATATTCTGCAACTTGTCCGAATTTACGCAATAATTATTGTGAACATATTTCACTAAAAAAATTAAGCAAACGGTGATTTGTCACAAGCAGGTTTTGCGTCAAGGTTTTTTATTTTCCCGAATCGATCAGTAAATTATAACTTATAGGTAATATTTACAAGGTAATACGAAAAAAATATATCATCAGCCAAAAACATGACTATAATTCATATTTTTATTGCATTTTTTAGAATTAATTAAATGATTAGCAAATAGCTAGATAAAGATGTGTTCCGTATACGCATAATATGCTTTTGATTAGACAAATAAGAATACGATAATTTTGAAATAATAAGAATTAAAATGTCTGAATATTACTTTAAAATCACACTCAGTCTTCAGGGTTTACGTTCTCGTGCTTGCTTGAAAGATACGTTTAAAATAAGTCCGGAATTGATAAATTTACTAATTCTTATTGGCTAAGTAACTTTGGTTCTGTCGAGTTTTTAATGCCTATTGATGGCAAGGATCTGCGCATACTAACCAGTCTCTATTGGAACCAAAGTGCTGAGATAAAGATGTGCAACTTACACAATGGGAAGATAGATATTAAAAAGGGTGTACGACAGGAATGCGTCCTCTCGCCGCTTCTGTTCAATATATACTCTGAACAAATCTTCAGAGAAGCACTGGGAGAAGTTTCGGAGGGTATCAAAGTAAACGGAGAGGTAATCAATAATATTAGGTATGCTGACGACACAGTTATTATCGCAAATGACTGCAACGAGCTTCAAAGACTCATGCAAAGCATACACACAGCAAGTCAAGAATATGGTTTAGAACTCAATACAACCAAAACTAAATGCATGCTCATCAGCAGAACACAACAACCTCCGATGCAATTGACATTAAACAACCGAAAAGTGATGCGGGCATGTGAAGGGAAAGTATCTCGGACATGTGATGCGGGGCGATAAGTATGGCATCCTGCGACTCATAATGCAAGGAAAAATAGATGGCAGAAGAAGCATCGGAAGAAGACGAATTTCATGGCTGAAGAACCTGAGAGAATGGTTTGGATGCAGCTCAAAACAACTATTTAGAGCTACTGCCTCAAAAATTAAGATAGCTATGATGATTGCCAACCTCCGTAGCGGAGATGGCACCTGAAGAAGAAGAAGAACCGAAAAGTAGAACAAGTGGAGACAT